AAATATTATAAAAAATATTTTTATATCAAAATTATTTTTTAAATCATCAATATTTTACATATCACATAAATTTATTTTTTCTTCTTGCATATGGTAAATGGTATATATTAAAATACATTAAACAATATAGATATAAATTTGAAATAAATTTGAAATAAATTTTGACATTTTACATTTTACAAAACTAAAATGTAATTTATTTTTTTTAAGATCATATATTATAGCAACAAAATATAAAAATCTCTTATTATTTTATTTAAATAACTTTTTTTATGCATGTACATAAATTATACAATGAATTATTTGAAAATTAATGTAATTATTTACAGTAAAAATAATAAAAAACTTTTAAGAGAAGCAATTCAAATATACAAAATAAAATATTATGTGCATTGCCTATTTCAATATATATATATATGTTAAAATTGCAAAAATCATAAATGATATTAATGTAAAGAAACACAACAAATATAAAATTATTATATACGAAATAAATATGAAAATAATTATAAATAATAACAGTAAAAATTCTTATATTAGCTTTATAATTTGAGCAAAAAAATGTAATTAGCAATTAAAATAACATAGATTTATTAATATAGATATTTTGTAAAGAAAACTTTAGTAAAACTTCATTCATATTATTTTTTTTTCTCATTAAAATTTTTATGGAAAAGATTTCTATAATTCTTTTTATTACTAGGATTTAAAACCATACAAAAAACAAATGAATTGTTTTTTAAAAAAATATTGTTAACATCTTTATTAATTATGATTCAACAAATCTGAAACTATGCATTGGATAGTGGAAATTGCACTTTTTAAGATAGGATAGACAAAAATCATGGATTATATTAATTAACATTTAGTATATTATATTATGTAATGAAATATTCGATCCATATTTTATAAATAGTATTAAAAATTATTATATCTCGTTTTCTCAGACAAAACATTATTATAGAGAAATATAATAAATATAATAATATAATAATATAACTAAGAGAAATATTTAAATGACTATTTATTTATGTATTATTTTATATATCTGATTTTAATTTTTGTTGTTTTTTTCTTTTTTTTTTCTATTATTTGCATTTCTATACATATCTTTTATACTTTTTTTATGGATGATAATTTTAAAATTATTATTTATTTCTATTATTTTTTTAAAAATAAAATCAAATATTTTTGTCTATATATTATATTTAAATTGATTTTTAATTTAAAATGTTTTAAAAAATATAAAGATGTTTTTATATTCAATAAGAATATAAAATTGCAAAAAGTAATTTAAAATGATTATTTAATTGATATTTATATGATTATTTTATAAATAAAATAATTATTTTATAAAATCTTATAAAAACTAAAAAAACATTATAACAAAATAATTATAAAATATTTAATTATTAAATTATTATATCTCGTAATTATTAAATTATATCATAAAAAATAATTTTTATTATTGTAATTTTGCAACTACATTAGATTACTAAAGATTATTTAGCTTATAATTACATTATTATTGTAATTTCCAATTAATAATAGTATATAAATAAATAAATTAAAAAAATAATGCACACATGAAAAATATATATAAAATAATAATTTTACAAAGAATCAGAAATATTTATTATTTCTATTTTATTATAATATATTTATTATTTCTTATTTTATTATAATATATATCTTTCATTAAAGTTCAAAAAGATTATATATAAGATATAAAACAAAAGATACAATCTACTCAATGTATAATAATAT